TTGATGAGATATTTTACCTTCTTTTCTTTTATGCAAGATTAAAAAATATCCTGTGTATCTTTTCTACTTAAAACACATCTCAATTTGGAGTAGCCATATTTCAAGTGTTCAACAGCCATACAGGGCTAGTGGCTGCCATGTTGTAAAGTTTAGGTCATGCTGTGCTTTTGCACTCAGTCATTCAGCTAGGAAGTTGGTATATTTAATACTTTTGCTTAGTAATTTGGACCTTTGTGCATTCTGCCCTTCTCACTCTATTGACTTGCCCCAAAGTATTAAGTGCAGAATTCTGACACCCAGCTGGGGCTTAGCATTTGCCTGGTATCTTAGTTTGGGCTGCTGCCACAAAATGCCATAGATTGGGTGGCTTCTTAACAACACAAATTTATTTCGGATAGTTCTGGGACATGGAATTCCGAGATCAGGGTTTCAACATGGTCAAGTTCTAGTGAGGGGCTTCTCCCAGGCTACAGACTGTCAGCTTTTCCTCACATGGAGGAAAGAGGACAAAAAGCTCTCTGGCATTCCTTTCATAAGGGCACCAATTCCCTTATGAGGGTCCCACCCTCGCGAGCTAATCACCTTCTAAAGGCCCTGCCTCCTGATACCATCACTTAGGGCTAAAGATTTCAACCTTGAATTTTGGGGGAACAAATATTCAGTCCATAACACAGAGTTTGAGAATATTTGGGCAGGGAAGAAACAGCATCAGAAAAATAGAGGGTATGACTAAATTTGAAAATAGTTGCAGTGGTCCTACTTAAAATTTTCAGGTGACAGTGTCCTACAGGTGCAGGAAGAGTTTGCCTCTTTCTCACGGTGAGAGGTGTAGGGGGTTAGACACATGCAACTAACTATGGAGGAAACAGGTGTCACTGAGAACCCAGGTGCTGTAACTCAGGTGTTTGGATGGGAGGCAGGCAGAGGCTTCTGTATTGGGGCAGATGAGCAATGAGAGGATGCTCTTTGCATCTGGCTTCAGAAACCAGCTCACCTGGCTTTGGAGGAACCCATGGGTGATTTACAATATCCAAGAGGTATGGGATATGAAAAACCCAGGTATTGATGTTGGGATGAAGTGAAGGTTTGCTTCAATGCTTAGTCAGGAGATGGCAAGAGGAATTTAGAGGGAAGTCTGGTTCTAGGCCTCCGGGCAGATTCCATCTAGTGGGGTTCCAAGATAAAGCTGAAGTTTGTTGTCTCCTGAGTCCATTCATCCCTTGTGATGGTGGTGGGGAAATACTTTCGGGCACTGTTACAGCTCCTTAGTCCACACTTTCTCTGTGGAAGGTATAAAGCTTCTCTTTCCCCCCACAATTGGTGTATGCTATCTTTCAACACTTGGGTTCTTGTTGCCTTTCTGTATTCACATAGAAGTTTGCACTGGTTTCCATTAGTTGCCATTTTTACTAGTTTGGTTCTGCATTTTGTCAACAGGAATGATTTTGCTGCAGACTGAAAATATAAGTATTTGGCTGAAAATTCTGTAATTGGGAGTTTTAGTCTTCTAAACCACAATAGTATGGCTAAATTTGGGTTGTTCCTGATATAGGATATGCTTAGGGAGTGAGAATGTTGATTTGGGGTTCAAGTCAGGCTGAGGAATAACCTTAAGAACTTGAGTCCAAGTATGAGTTACTAGGATGGGCTATAGAGATTGTGGGCACAGGGTCATAATTATTGTAGGTACAAGGGCATAATCATGACCCTGGAGAATTTGAGTTGCCTGTGTTCTTTTACTTGCATAATTTCTCCTGCTTAGAAATCCCTCCCTTTTCTTTAACACTAATTTTAAGAATTTTCAATAATTATTTAAGAATTTCCTTCATAATTCTTGTTAAATCAATCTACTCATTCATGCATGCATTCATTTATTAACTATATTCCTCAGTGTACAAATGTTTATTGGACACCAAATGTCAGGCACTGGGCTAGGTACTAGAGATTCAAAACCAATGAAGCCATGGTCTCCATCCCTAAGAAGCTCAGCACCTGGCAAATTCTTCACACTTCAACCCACCTTGAGTCACTGGAGTCTGTCCAGTTATTTCTCGGTATTCATTTAACTGGTTTTATGTTCAATTTGTGTTTGTTCCTAGTATACTCCCTGAAGTGACCAGGCATTTTCATTAGCAAAAATTATGCTTTCTCCTTTTCTTATCATCATAGGGCCTGGTATTCTGCACAGAGTAGGCTCTAATACACATTGTTAACAGAGGGACCACTTTTCAGGGTAAATAAATCAGGTCAGCTGATTATTACTTTTGCACACGATTACTGATATTGCTAAGAAATTTGAGGGTTTTTGACAATGTAGTCAATTGCCATGAAAAGCTTCCATTTTGAACCTGTAGACTAAACACAGCCTCTGTTGCCCTTGCATGCGCCAGATACCCCGTAGACACCCTCTTGCAAAAGTACAGCAGTATGTTTGACTTTTAATGACAGGAGGATTAATTTAAAGTTAGATCTACACGGATGTCTTCCTTGTGTGTTGCAACCGTCCAAGAAGTACAGTTTGGGAAGGTCCCCTAATGAAGTATATAAATAGTAACTTTCTTTCAAACTCTCAGTGAAGGTTGCTGTATTACTGAAGTGAATTTCAGTGACCCCTTACTCTAGAAGGAGGCCAGGGTAGAACACATTTTTACAAATAATACACTTTGCTTTGCAGCTCTGATAATTTTTTTCTGTCTTTGAGTCTGTCACATAACCAGGAGGCTGCTTGTTTCTTAGGACAAAGGTATTTGCATGGAAACTGATCAAACCATTATTATTAATAATCTCATGACTGAGGCATCACCAATGCTTTTGTGCATTTGAGGGTAGCAAATAAATTAAAGTTTTATTCTGGAGACTCTGGAGGCATACAAGAACAAAGAAGCTTATGAGCACAGTGGGTGGTGGTTCTTTCTTGGCTAAGGCACATTTGTGCTTGGGAGAACTGCTGTCCCATTTCTGCAGCAATGGAACCCTATTGGTCAGGGGTCTTCTAATGAATTGGTCATAGGAGCCCTTAAAGGTAGTCATGATAACAGGCTATACCATTGTTAATGAGATTTTCTTTCTGACAGGGCACCAACATGCTCCTTGAAAAAAGGTACAAGCAAGGCTCATTACAGCCACACGCAGAGGCTACTAGCAAATGAGAACAGATTTGCCCTTTGCTTTGGTGGGAATTGGGAGGATGAGGGGAATTGTGATGGGAGGTGGAGATACACTCTCTGCCTTATGTCCATATTCATAGCATTCAATCTTAGAATATCTTAGAATAATGGATTCAGTCTCCCAGTTTTCATTCTCATACATGCTGTACACATTCCCTGCCTTGAACTGGGCATCTAAGTGGTTAGAACATTTGACCAAAGAGGCCAAGGCTGAACTGCTTCCCACAGAGAACAATGAACTTTACAGCCCACATTTCTCCCTATCTGTTCTTCTTCACACTCTATTCATCCATTTATGGTTTTCCTGTCCCCCCATTTCTCCCTTCCCTACCACCCCAGTATCTGAATAGGGTATCAGGGTTTTAAGACTGTGTTTCTCACATTTGCAGCGTGTTTATTCTGAGAGTTTATGTGGAGCTCCTGGGGAGAGGTGGGGTGGGAACAGAGTGGGGCATGAACCTTCTCTCTTTGTTTTGAACCCAACAATCTTACATATTGATCTAGTCTTTAGGAGATTAAACAAAAAATGAAAAAGTTGACATTTCTATGGCACGTCAAAGCTTATATGCAACTTCCCAGACAATATTTCATTTAATTCCAATAATATAGGAATTGTTACAACCATAGAGGGGCTAAGTGACATGCCCAAGGCCACCATCTCATTGTGACAAAGCTTTTTTGTTTTGAGACAGACTTCCTCTGTCACTCCGGCTGGAGTGCAGTGGTATGAGCATAGCTCACCACAGCCTCAACCTCCTGGGCTCAGGTGATCCTCCCACCTTCTGAGTAGCTGGGACTACAGTTGCATACCACCACACTTGGCTACTTTTTTCATTTTCTTATAGAGACAGGGTCCCATCATGTTGCCCAGGCTTGAACTCAAGCCACCCTCCCACCTTGGCCTCCCAAAGTGCTGGGATTACAGGCGTGAGCGAGCATCCCCAGCTCAGAGCTGGGTCTTAATACTGAGACCAACACCTGTGTCATTCTCCAGGGAAGAAGGCAGAAATCATGAAGGTGTGTGAAATGTTGAGTGAGGCAAATGGATCCTGAAGCCCAGGGTCAGGGCTTCTGGGCAAGAGAAAGTGCATCCTATTTCTCAGTTTTATGAAGAATAAGCTTGAGATTTTGAAGGCCTCGCTGGCACAGAAGCAGCTCAGAGGCGACGGAGGTCAGACAATGTTTTCTGGAGAGAAAACTGCTCCTGGGGCCTCCTTGACTGGGTTTGGGGCAGTGCCCTGGCCTGGGAGAGCGGGCACTGGGTCATCAGGATCCCTTTGTTTTGGGTTTTTTCTCTCCCCTACATGAAACATACAGTGGTGAGTGCTTGATAGGGCAGAGTCCTACCTGGTTTGCCGGCCGACAAAACATGACTGGTCTTTCCTTTAGAGTGGGGTTGTTAGATAGCTTTGTCTAGAAAGAGTCACTGTAAGGGACAGGTCACCGACAACTTGGGCAGTAGGAACTGAAGAGGGAGGCACAGTAACTCCTGGAGAAGAGCCACAGTTTCTAAGGTGAGTTTCCTAACTGTCTCTGGAAAGTAGCATTCGGTAAACTGGGGGAGAACACTAGAAGCACTGCAAGGCAAAGGACGGAGGGTGGATTTTCCTCCCTGGAGCCTCCAAGCTCTGTCTCATCCACAAAGACTACTTTGATCTCATCTCTTTCAAGGAAGTACTAAGTGGGAAACCATATATTGGGCTTTATAAAACACATTTGAGTTAATATTTGGCAGGGCATATCTGGATCTAAGGGCAGCTCACAGAGTGGGCCTCAGTGTCAAGGTGTGGGCCATAACTCAGATTCCTGGGTGCCCTGAGCCTCCTGGGGCAGGTTACGTGTTCCCTGGCCACTTCCTCTTTTCCTACATGCTGGCCGTGGGAAAATCCCTGCTGGGCTCTATAAGAAGCCCCTGGGCTCTGAGCAGAACCAGAGGCTCCAGCTAAGAGGACAAGATGAAGCCCGGCCTCTCATTTCTCCTAGCCCTTCTGTTCTTCCTCGGCCAGGCTGCAGGGGATTTGTGGGATGTGGGACCCCCACTCCCTAGCTCCAGCTCCAGCTCCTTCCCAGGTGTTGATTCCGGCTCCAGCTACTCGAGCAGCCGCAGCTCAGGTGGCAGAGGTTCTGTGTCCCAGGTGAGGAGACCCCAGATTCTCAATGATCTGCATTCAGTCCCTGCCTCTTGCTTTTGGGGACCTGAATACAATTTCATGCATGGCTAGACCTGGGCACTGTAAAAGATTTACAACTCCCCTTGTTAACTATAGGTGCCCTAGAAATGAATGAAAGCGCCAGTAAAATAATTAAATTGTTAGCAAGAGAGACGACATCTCAGTTCTGTAGCTGGGACTTTTGAGAAAATCTATGCTTTAGAGGAGTTCTCAAATCTGGATGCATATTGGGATGGGTGGCCAGGGCGACTCTAAAAGCACAGATGCCTGGGTTCTACGCGTAAAAGAAATCCTGCATAGATGTCTAGAAATCAGATATTTTAAAAAACCTCTCCCAAAGTGATTCTAATATACAGTCCAGGATGGGAATTGCTAGGGAAAGGACTCTGTTTAGTTGCAGCTCCAGGAAAGTTTGTCCAATTGATTTGCTGCCCGGCAGGGTCCCGGGATGGTGAGGAGTAGCCCTCAAGGGAATGAAAGCCGCAGTGCTCTAGGTGAAGCCCTGACCATTTCTCTTGGCCTGGTTTGTAAAGGAGATGGGTGTCAGAAATAAGGGGAGGAGTTATTGGTCTTCAGCAAAGTGTTACTACTAGCAGACGTTTCCCTAGGGGAGTGTTCATTCTTTGCAATCTTCTTTATAGGGTATCTTCAGGGCCATTTCCACGTCCAAACAACAGCAGCAACAGACAAACAAAACCCAAAGTCAGGCATTACAAATAGACTGGTACAGCTAGGCTAAGTGCATAGATGTCATAGTGAGCCCAGTTCCTTGAGGGATGAGTCCTCTTCGGATCTCCTTTAAAGAAAGGAGAATAGGCTGGAGGGCATGAGAGGTTAGGAGGTAAGAAGCAGCTATTCATTTCACTCTGGACCTTTCAGTGGGAGCCCCACTCTGCAGAACCGCCTAGACTATCCTTGCTAAGGTATAACTTGGAGTCGGGGAGTCTTCTGGGCCAAAGCTCCTCTCTCTGCACTTCTAGGATCTTGACTCAGAGGTCAGGTAGCTGCTTACATGATCACATCTGAATGGAAGGGCAAATGGGAGAAGGAGGAGGAAAAAGCTTTTGTTTGTTTTCATTTTGACCATCAGAATATATAGATATTAAAAATTTGGTAATTAACTAATGGTTTGGATAGGGCCTAGATGGAAACAGCAGCAATAACATTTACTGTGTATTGAATAAATGCTAGGACTAGGTTAAGTATATAATATGTATTATCTTACTTAACTTTAAGAGGTAGGTAAAATTAATAGTCCCATTTTAGAGAGATGAAAACTGAGGCTTAGCAAGGTGAAGTCATTGGCTTTAAGTCACTAAGCTAGCAAGTTATATAGCTCAAAATTAGTCTGTCCGTTCTCTTCACCATGTCTCTACATGCAGGTTTCTACATTTCCAGATGAAAACTGATTATTTTTAAGAGGAGGGAGGCTTGGGAATCATAGTAGGCACAAGAATTCTTTGCAATCAGAAATCAGATACATAATTTTATTCCATGGTACTCAGTGATTTCTGAGGATAATCAGAATTGGCTAGCACTTTTTTTTGGACTGAGGTTAACAATAATAATTTATTATGAAGCTCCATCACCAGTCAGAAACCAGCATTTGGGTAAGATTGTCAGCTATAATAACAGAAAATAAAATATAGATCAAGAGGCAGAGAAATCCGGAATGCCTATTGTCTGGTAAAAAGACAAATATTTAAAAGTAGATGAGATATGGTAGTTAAATTGTACTTAGAGATTTTAATTTCCTTTTTACTTATCTCTCCCTGGTGAGTCAGTATCACAACTCCAAAATTTTTTTTTATAGTGGACTAGGAGTCAATTTCACTATAAACCTAATTTTCTGGGGCTGACTGTCAGCTTGATGAGCTCTTTGGAAGGTGGTGGAAAACCCTTTTATAACTGTCATTGGGTATGTTCCAAACATATCATTTTCTGTACTTTGAAAATGTTGAGTACTATTATTTTATGCCTTGAATCTTTGCTGACACTTAGGCTTGGCTACTAATTAGAGCCAATAGTAACCTTAAATCACCTTAAATGTGAGTTGCACCTTCTGCTGTAAGCACTCAGAGTACTCTCTCCCTCTTAAGGAGGGGCCTCTGTAGGGTTCTCAATTCACAAGACTAGGAAAAGGCTCAATGCTCCGCTTCACACAGTAACTGGCATAGTCGGAACTGCAATGAGTCACGTGTTTTGTTGTCAGGCCACCAGGCTGGTTGGAAAAAAACCAGTAGGGCTTTCATAGTGACAGTGGGCCTGATTCCTGGGCAGGAATTGACTCCTCATCGTCTCCCTAAAGCCAGAGCCTGGCATAGTGTAGACATCAGTAAATGCTAATTGAACACATGCTTAGTGAAAACTTACCAGTATAAGGTGTCTTGTGGGATACTCAGGGTTCTATTTGCCCTACGCAAGGGGAATCGCATATTCTTCCAAAGGCCAAGGGGACAAGCACTCGTCTTTGTGTCCCATCCCCCATGCTTCATTCACGTAGAGTTTGAGCATTCACCGCAGAGAGAGACTCATCACCATTAGCTTCATTGTCTTTGAATGCGAGGAGCAGAAATATCTCTAATGGGAGACACTGATCAAACTTATGGACCATTATGATGTCAGCTGAGCATGCTGGGCTGATGATAAGCTGGATGGAGGCTAGGGGAGTCCACAGCGTTGGGACAGAGATGTTCAATAGAAACCGATGGAACGGCTGTCAGCAGGGCTCATAATTATTTGCCTGTCTTTCAAGTGAACTTCAGGACTAAAAGTTACTAGCTAGTGATTCCTGGTTGACTGTCTAGAGACTGCTTGATGATATCCACTATTTCCTGAGTTGGCAGAGCTTTTCAGAGAACTCTGAGAATGGTCCAATCCTGTTTTGTGCAGCTAATTAAACTCCCCTTCTCAAAATGCAATGCAATATTTTTTTGCTAGACAATTATTATAATAAGCTGTTTCTTTAAAAGTCCATGATATGTCAGTTCTTTCTGTAAAAGCCTTGGCATGCTTGAGCTGGAGTCTTTCTATCTTTGGAGAAATGAATAAAGCTGGTTTCAAGGGAAGCCGGCCCCTCTGACAGGTTCCTGGTATATCTTGCCCAGTCTTTATTCATCTCTGGCAAAAACTCTTCCCCTATCCAAGCCCTGCTGTCCATCCCCATGTTCGACATAAATCTGCTTGTTTCTCCTCCCCACTCCTGAACTTCTTCCCATGTGGGGATGTGACTGGAAAGAAAAATTGAGGCCAAGATCATAAAATTTGACTATACACATACAGAGACTTTTGGATACACACCTATATATGTATTTTTTCTGCTCATCTGGAAACTTAAATTAAAAACAACTTGGGTGCAAAAGCCTTGATTGGACCTAAGCCCACTGATAAAATAAGTCTTCATTATAATAGAAGCATCTAGACCCAGCTTGTTCAGGCATCATGCATTTAGCCATTAAATGCACAGGACACATGACACCACCTGCAGCTGGCTGACCTGAACTTTGAGAGACATGGCCAGAGTCTCTTCAAGCTCTGAAGACCATTGCTATCTCCTTCGTGGTTTCATAAAAAGTTCCTTCAGGCTGATGTCCACAGGTGAGCTCTGGGTTGGCCTTCAGTGGAGATCATTAAAAGGCACAGCAAATTGGCTGCCAAGGGTTACTCTGTAAGGCAACAGTAGTAATAAAAAAATGTTAAATGTGCTGGGATCCTCTTGGGGAAGTTCAAAGGGGACAAAAGAAAAACAGAATCTTTCAAACCTGTCATTTAAACATATGCAGTGGCACTGAAGTGTGAGTCTGAATATCTTAAAGAAACATCAAATATTTTAAAATGACTTTTTCTGCAAATGGTAAGCTGGAAAAAAACTTTTATTTAAAAAAATTTGCACAAAACCTTCAAGCTCATACACTATTCAGTTTCTAACAAATGGCTGGTTCCCATTTTGAAGGATGTTAATTATACAATTTCCCGGGCGATGAGAGGATATGAATTTGCATTGTGTATTTTCACTGTAGCCCATATCCTTGGTGATTCCCTCATTCTGATGAAGAGGAATTCGACTGGGGTTGGGGTGAAGGTGAGGAAGAGAAAATGAGCAGTAGAGGGAAAGAGACAGTGACATTTACTGGTCACCTAGCCTGTGCCGGGGACTTGGCTCACATTACTCTGTGAATACTGAGGACAACCCTGTGAAGTAGGTTATCTCTATTTTACAGATGAAGGAACTGAGAATTAAGGAGGTTTCACACCTAGCGAATGCTAGAATTGAAATTCGAACTTAGCACTCTCATAGCTTCTTTATTTCCCCTTCTTTGCATAGAGATAGGAATAATCTCCTCTAAGACTCAAGAATGGAGAATCTTTCCTTTGATAAAGCCTGCTCATATAGCAGTTTTTGTACAACCAGTGGCGATGTGGCTAAATGCTATGTGGTCCCCACCTGTGAAAACAAAGCTGTTTTAGCCTGTTTCTATAATTCTATTCATTTATGTATTGGACTTCACTTACTTGCCTGTAAGTGCTCTTGACAAGCGAATTTCTGTCACTTCAGTTGCCAGAAAGCTCAGATTCCAGCTTGTTACTGATGTTCAACTTGTTATTATTTACAGTTGTTTTCCAATGTCACCGGCTTTGTGGATGACCGTGGGACCTGCCAGTGCTCTGTTTCCCTGCCAGACACCACCTTTCCCGTGGACAGAGTGGAACGCTTGGAATTCACAGCTCATGCTCTTTCTGAGAAGTTTGAGAAAGAGCTTTCTAAAGTAAGCATTTTCCTTTTCTTGATAAGGACAAGCAAACACAACAAAACGTGTTCTAATTTAGGATGTATAAGCAACCATTCTTCGCTGTGTCAAAAACATCACATTTAATTCTATGGGATTTTAGCGTTTATTTTATAGGACACCAATGGAGTTCTTATAGCAGGGAAAATGAAAGCACAGGAAGAAAGTGGGGTTGAGATTGTTCACGCCATAGAGAACCTCACATAGTATTGTGGTACTCATGCAGTTGGAAGGAAGCCTCGAGCTCTCCCTGCAAACCCCAACCTGCAATTTGTATTTTGTTTTGATGTTGCTGCTTTTCTTTGGTCTTCCAGATCTTACCTCAAGCTTTGCTGTCTTTTCTTTCTTCTCCTCTGTCCCCTTTAGTTGAATGCTATCTCCCTCCTCTTTCTCCTTTTCTATTTCGATTCTATTCGTGCATCCTTTAGTTTCTTATTTCTCTTGTCTCAATCCTTCCCCTTGTTCATTCCTTCTAATCTGTCTTTTCCTTTCCTGGTTAATTCTTTTTTTGGGGAAATTTTGGGTATTTTCTTACTTTTGGATGATCCTTTTTTTTCTCCTTTTTTTCCTCTTCCTCTACTTCCACTCCTTCAAATCCTCTCCCTCTCATCCTCCTCCCCTCCCTCTCTTTTTTCTTTAACTCTTTTTTATCTTTACAAATTGTTGTCTTCCTTCTCTCTCTCCCACTCTCTTTTTATTTTTTTGTGTGACAGTAAGTTGTAGTCTCTTTTCTCTTTTCCCATTTTCTGCAAGTAAGATGCAAGGTTGTAGTCCCTTTATTTTTAATTTTTAACTTTTTTGGTATCTAGTATCTGTATTTGTTGATGGGGTACATGAGATACCCTGAGACAGGCATGCAATGCATAATAATCACATCATGGAAAATGGGGTGTCCATCCCCTCAAGCATTTATCCTTTGTGTTACAAACAATCCAATTAGACTTTTAGTTATTTTTAAATGTACAATTATTATTGACTATGGTCACCCTGTTGTGCCATTACATACTCGGCCTTATTCATTCTTTCTAACTACTTTTCATTTTTTACCTTTTAACCATCCGCACTTTCGTCCCCACCTTCCATCTCTCTTTCTTGATGGTTATTTTCCATTGTCTCAGCAGGAACATTGCATTTGATGTGTCCAACATTAGACAAAAATTGAAGGCTTCCCTGGGAATTTGAATCAAGGCTAATAGGTCTCTCAGCCTTGGTAAAAACACTGGCTTGAACTCTGTGGTTACTGTTTTTTTCTTCAGTCTGAGGAAGTTACTGTAAAGGGTTTGCCTTTCTCTGGGCTGGCTGGAGCAATGTGACTTGGCGTTCTAGTTTTGAGCCCTTCCACCTTTTCAGCCAAGTTAGAAATCAATTAGAAAAGTTCCTATTTTCTGCACAGGTGAAGTCCAAGCTAGGCTATAATCACATTATGCATTATTTAATACAACTCCATTAATTTACAAGGAGCTCTGGCTTTACTGCACGATTCAGAATAAGTTTTCCTAAGAAATTTAAGCTTTGCCACCTCAACATCCAACATAGCTATCCTTTAAAACAAAAATTATGATGAGGCTGAGACCCTACTTTCAGCCTGAATTGGTAGACAAATATTCTGAGTTTAAATTAGTGTCCAGGAAAATGTGTTTGACTACTCTAGAAACCTAGCTGCTTAAGAAATAAAATGTCCTTGAATTAATCAGCGGAAAAGGCACAGCACTAAATTATAAATTCCAACCATTAATATTCATAGCCTTATTCCAGCATAATCAAGTACAGATAAGAAGTTATGCATAAAAACATAACAAGTAGAGGAAAATCCTAGGTAAAGATCTTTTCAGTTAGAATCATTTGCTTTGAAATAGTGGAAACTACTGATTTGCATGTAGTCTTTGCATGGCAGCAGTGTGAAGGGCAGTTTGAAACCTCATGTGCTCCAGGGAGAGTATGTGGCTTGCCGGGTTTGTGAATATGGGACCTTTAATTCCAGTCCTGTATGGGGGGCTGGTAGCATCTGCTTTGCTAATAACAGCTAGGGAGGAAGTGCAGAATAGGTGGGAAAGTTTTAGTTCTGAAAGTGTCAGTCAGTGGCTGCTCTGATCCAAAAAACAAAAAAAAAATCTGTAATTGAGGCCTAAGAAAAGTTAGCTAAGATTTATATAATCGATTTAGTGTAACAGGTGATAATAACAACAATAATAGAGCAGTTTTGTTTGTGCTTTTTCAAGTGCTGCCAGTTCTATTCTCCTCTCAAGTAATCCTTTAAGGAAGATAGGCCAGGTGTTCTCTCTCCCATTGTAGAGACAGAAAAACTTCAGTTCGTAAAGGTAAAGAGACTTGCCCAAGGTCATTCCTCTCTTGGCTGGTTAAGCCAGGTCAGAATTTGAGTCTTCAAAATCACCCCAACTCTCTTTCGTCTTGGTCATGCTGTTAGCATCCTCCAAGTAGGCCCAGGAAGAAATGCAGTGGGTCAGTAATGCCTTCAAATCCAAAGTTATCTCTGTAGCTGAGCGCTTTTGAATTTCCAGATGAATCATTACAGCTGTCCCATGGTTGCCTTGCAGATCATCATTTATCTGGGGGCCTGGGAGAATGTCCATTTAGGACAGGCCAGTAGAAAAGGTTTTTGACTGCTTTACATTGATTCATTATCTGCCAGTACACAGAGAAGACAGGGAGCTGCCTCTGCATAAGATGCTGAAAGCATTTTCTGCTTTTCTGTTGTTTATGATATGTCCTTTTGTGACTATACTTAGGAAAGGGATGGCACAAAAGGCAGCTCAGGATTTTCTCTTTTCTCTGGAGGCTTATGATCTTTGGGGTGAGTTATTTAATATGACACATTTGCTAGTAGATCCTCATGCAAGGGAAGGTTGAGGCAGCCTAGGAGACATTAAGGCAACCCATAAAGAAACAACATTGATTGAGCCATATTTTGTGCAGTGAAATACAATAAATTAAAAGGTCAGATTGAAAAACACTGAAATTACTGTTTCTCTGTTAATTTCTGTAATTCATAGGGCCTTCATTAGCTGGCCACTTAATGTACATTATCTCCAGTCTTTATGATAATCTTGTAAGCTCAGTATCATTCCTCCAGCTTACCGGAAACTGAGGGTTAGAGAAATTAAGTGATTTGCCCACTAAGTACTGAAGTTAGATGTGAGTCTAGGTGGATCTAGCTCCAAAGTACTTTCTATGTCTTTACAATCACTTCAGGCTCAGTGAACCCTGTTGCATTTACTTTGAAACATATATTGAAAATGGTAGTATGTTGCAAAGCCAACTTACTTATTTTCAAATAGTCTGGCCGTAGTAATAATCACAGATTTTGAGCGATTGGCAGAAACATGAACCAGATTAATTCGTTAGCTTACTAGCCAGCTGCACCACATCCTTTTTACAAGACCACATTTATTATAAGGAACAATAATCACTACCCTAAAACCAACCCTCACACAAATTTTTTTCCTCACCAATGATATAGTATGTGCATAACAAGGAAAATAAAATGGAAGCTGTGAATGTTAGGCTGGTGGCTTAAATACAAGCATGGATGGGCCATCTAGTGCTCAGACTTGTGATGAAGAGCTTCAGGGTAAAGATGTTGATACAGGATGTGTCCCCTCAAGGCTAGACCCATATTCTTGCTAGAATGTCTAGCAGCATCCCTGGCTTTAGATGCCAGTAGCACCCACCCAAACCCCAGTTATGAGAACCAAAAATGTCTGTAGACATTGCTGAATGTTCCCGAGGACAAAATCACCACCACTGCCACCCTCCCTCCATTCAGAACCACTGTTCTACATCAAAATATAGCTACAGGTCAGCTAAAGACAGGGACATAGTCTGAGAAATGCGTCATTAGGTGATTTTAACTTGGTAAACATCATGGTGTACTTACACAAACCTAGAGCATGTAGCTGACTACACCCTTAGGCCATATGATATAGCCTGTTGCTCCAGGCTACAAACCTGTACAGCCTGTGACTGTACTGAATGCCGTAGGCAATTATAATACAGTGGTAAGCTTTTGTGTATCCATATGTATCTACATGTAGAAAAGGTACAGTAAAAATACGATATTTATAATCTCACAGGACCTCTGTCATACATGTGGTCTGTCGTTGACAAAACTGTTGTTATGCAGCAAATGACTGTATTTTCTAGAAGAATTAAAAAGGCACAAAGTGCAGCAAGTACCAGGGACGTGGGACTGGACACTCCCACGCAAGCTGGGCTGCCTCTCCCATGACTACACCTCCTGGAGGAGCTGGCCTGCGCTCAGCATTGTCCACGCTGTCCCAAAGCTACAGATTCATATATGTGAAGGGCCACACGAATGATTTACTTAAATTAATAAAAGTAAAGTTCATACTCTGAAGTCTTTCTGGCCCATCCCCAAATTCTTTTGTGTCCTCTCACTCGACGATGATTGCCGTTTTCCTGAAAACCACTGAGCTTCCTCTAAACGTCCGCTGAAGAACCTCGAGTTTTTTTCCCCAAACGGATCTTCACAGACCCTTCATTTTGTGTCTGCGCCATGGCAGGCACACCACACAGTTTTATAGGGAACAAACTCTGGAATATGCCTTGCTTTTTTTGTGAGACTCTGGGAGAGCCACATTTTATTTAGCAGAGATGACAGTTGAATCACTCATTTTTGTAGAACAACAGCTGCGATGTGCCACCAAAATGTTCCAGAGAAGCTGAGGGTGTTTCATTTGTTCCAAGAGCTGGCAAGGCCAAATGCCAACAAGCATATTTATTTCTCAAACTTCCATTTCTGTAATGGATTGGCACCTTATTTATTTATTTATTTTTACCATAGGCAAGGTTTTATGCCTGATTTTTGTAGACGCTGAAACCTGGCAGCCCTATATCTGTAGTGCACTTTTGAGGGGGACTTGTTAGATTTTATATCTACAGTCAGCCCTCCCTAGCCCTGGGTTCTGCATCTGCAGATATAACCAAACTCGGTTTGAAAAATTTCAGGGAGAAAAACCTAATAAAAATAACAATACAACAACAGAAATCATGCAAATAAAAAGCAATACAATATAACAACTCTTTATATAGCACTTACATTGTATTAGGTATTATAAGTAACCTAGAAATGATTTAAAGGATTTGGGAGGATGTGTGTAGATCGTAGGCAAATACTGTGCCATTTTCTATCAGTCTTGAGCATCCTTGAATTTTGGTATTCTTGGCAGGTCCTGAAACCAATCCCCCATGGATACTGAGGGGCGGCTGTATATATGTTTTAACCTTTATATCCACCAAAATATCACCCCAGCCTTGTCATCCTCCAAGTTATGGTACATCTGATGGCAGTGAGCATCAGTTGCCTGAGGAGATACACTAGCAGTGCCAAGGGCTGTTTTTTCAGCTTTCATTAAAATCCTTTTTGCCTGAAGCCCTAGCCCTTTAGGTCTGTGGTCTATGAGTCTACTTTAATTTGCACAATGGGGTTAAGCGGAAGGGCTGAAATTACAGAAGTTAGGATTGCTTTTGGTGTTAGAAGGATTAGAGGCCAACATCTGGCTCTAAATTCATCTAGGCACTGTGGATCAGCTACTTGATATTAGTGCAGTTTTGGGGAAAGTATCACTTCTGTTCAAATTTTTAAAAAGCATATAAAGCCAGCAACTTTTAATGAGCAGGCCCTTAAAAAAGCCATGGCATTTTCTGTAGAGATCAGACACAGAAAGAACCACCAACTGTGTTTATTAAAATATCCATTTGGAGATTCCAATTATACACTAAACCGCCAAGGGAATTTTTGGAAGTATTTTAACTTAATAATCAGACATTCAAATATATGCAACAAATGTGTAATTTAAAGGTCTGATTGCAATAATCAGTTCTTGGAATAAATGTGGGTGCACTTAATGAAATGTGCACTCTGCAGGGCACACACGCTCACATATTGTGTAGTAGGTTGGATCTTTGTGCCACTTTGTAAAAGGCAGAGGGGATCAAAACTAATTGCATATGGTGATCAAAGAAGGAATTCTGTGTAGCACATTTCTCCCTCTTCCAGAAAATGCTTAGATTTAGAGCCGTGGTTCTAAATGGAAGGCGGCGGCAATGATTCTGTCCCCAGGGAACATGTAGCAATGCCCAGAGATATTTTTGGTTGTCACAACTGGGATGTGGGTGGATACGACTGGCATGAAGAGGACAGGAAAGCTGCTTAATATTCTGAAGTTCACATCACAGCCCCCAGAAGAAACGACAATCCAGCCCCAAATGCCAACAATGCTGAGGTCGAGAAACCCCAATTAGAGTAAGTATGTTGAAGGGAGGAGAGATTGCAAGAGACTATGATACAGACCCGTTTAGTTTGGGGAGCTAAATTCTTCAAACATTAAAATGGAGATTAAGAAAAAAGAGCTCAATATCAGCTGATCATTAGAGAAATGCAAATCGAAGCCACAGTAAGATACCATCTCACACCAGTCAGAATGGCTATCATTGAAAAGTCAAAAAATAGCAGATGCTGGTGAGGTTGCCGAGAAAAGGGGACACTTATACACTGTTGCTGGGAGTGTAAGTTAGTTCAGCCATTGTGGAAAGCAGTGTGGTGACTTGAAGAACTAAAAAGAACTATTATTCAACCTAGCAATCCTTCTACTGGATATATACCCAAAGGAATATAAATCGTTCTACCATGAAGATACATGGACACTGCAGCACTATTCACAATAGCAAAACATGAAATCAACCTAAATACCTATCATGGTAAACTGAATTAAAAAAAATATGGGCCATATACACCATGGAATACTTTGCAGCCATAAGAAAGAATAAGATCATGCTCTCTGTAGGAACATGGATGGAGCTGGAAGCCATTATCCTAAGCAAATTAACACAGGAACAGAAAACCAATACCACATGCTCTCACATATAAGTGGGAGCTAAATGATGAGAACACATAGACACAAAGTAGAGAATGACAGAGGCCTACTCAAGGATGGAGGGTGGGAGGAGGGAGAGGAACAAAGAGAAAAATCTATTGGATACTAGGCTTAGGACCTGGGAGACAAAATAATCTGTACAACAAACCCCCATGACATGAGTTTACCTATATAACAAACCTGGATATTACCCCTGAATCTAAAAGCTTTTTAAAATATGGAAATTAGAATATACCTGCAAATGACGATGCTGAAGCAAAATTATTTTTAGTCTAGCAAAGTGTAAATTCTACCTCCCCTCAATTGGAGTAATAAGTTCTTTATATATGGATAGATTTCAAAAATCTAGTTAAATATATTTTTGATCTATGTCTTTACAAAAAACAATTATTGGAAAGAATCAAATAGTCCTCAAGGGCTCAGTAGTGGAAGAAGATGGTGTGATGCTACTCAGGAAATTGGGCTGAACCGTTTGATTTTCTTTCAGGTGAAGGAATATGTCCAGTTAATCAGTGTGTATGAAAAGAAACTGTTAAACCTGACTGTCCGAATTGAGATCATGGAGAAGGATATCATTTCTTACACTGAACTGGATTTCGAGCTGATCAAGGTAGAAGTGAAGGAGATGGAGAAACTGGTCATACAGCTGAAGGAGAGTTTTGGTGGAAGCTCAGAAATTGTTGACCAGCTGGAGGTGGAGGTAAGGAGTGAACTCTCTTCCTGGTAAACTAATAATAAAATCCCTTCACTGACTATAAGCAAGTGCTAGGACCAGGAAATGAAACTGTCTCTCCCGACTTCTAATTCTCTACTCTCTCATGGCCACATGGCATGTCACTATGTTCTGTTTTGGGTAAGAGCCTGTGTTTGAATAGTAAGTTAAGCACATTGGGAATGTGCTGATGTAGGAGCAGATGTTGTCTGATGGTCAGAATCCGGCCCCAGAGCAAAACGCCCTTTCAACTCCTCTAAAAAGGAGGTGACATAAATTTGAACAACTGTTCATGGCCAAGCTAGATGAGGTGTGTTCTCTGGTCTAGATTTATCCTCATGGATCTAGAAATCCACAATATACCTGATTGTGGTAAACTCGTTAGGTTTGTTTCTCCTTTTGAATAACCTGGAATCCTTCTCTACAAACTGGAAGCCCCCTTTAAGAAATTTCTTGTATATTTCTGTGAAGCCTTTTAAGATCTGTGGATAGAGATCATGACATCAATGTAATGGTCGGGTAATTTATATCAACGAGAATTGCACAGTCATGACATGGGTTATAATTGAGAATTCTAGTTACGTATTTTAGAATTTAAGCTTTCTCTGGCCCTAACCATTCATTAGAAACTTAATTATAATACAATATGAGTAAACACAAGTTTATAGGGGAAGTTTTTATTAGAAATGAACTTTAATGGACATTTGTGGATGCTGAGAATGAGCTTGGGCTCTATTATTAAAGCTGTTAAAATCTTTGCCATTTTCTTCCTGTCACATACATCTGCCTGAGATCTGACAGGCGTTCACGCTAAACCATAAAATGTATTCTTCCAAATGAAACCATTCAGAGGAATCTCTGGTGTATTCTCTTGCAATGTTTCACTAAATGACAAATTCAGCCTTGGAATGTTTATGAAAGAAATTGCACCATAATATAAAGTCACTCTGAATTTTTATTTCCTTAGATAAGGAATATGACTCTCCTGGTAGAGCAGCTTGAGACTCTAGACAAAAACAATGTCCTTGCCATTCGCAAAGAAATCGTGGCTCTGAAGAACAAGCTGAAAGAGTGCGAGGCCTCGAAAGGGGAAAACGCCCCTCTCGTCCGTCCTTCTCCCACTCCAGGTAAGCATGCCACTTCTGTAACCACTTGTGCCGGATCCCATAAGGAGCTGTGAGTGGGGTGGGGAACGGATTGGGGATTGCAATGGTGAAAGAGAAGGTGAGATTTTTTTCTTTTTTTTTTAATTCTCAGTTTTCTCTTCCGTGTTTTAAATTCCCTTCCTCCCAAGTATTCTACATGCTATCATATTCTGGGTTTCACAGAGGAAGAGCACAAACAATGAGTTGATTTAAAACAAATACAGAAGTTACACGTATTCTTTTTGCATTTACTCACAGGGAACAAAAATCTCTATGGTAATGGAGGCACTATCAGAGGCCTCAGGGGAAAGCCTCTGGAATCTGTGTGTGGCATCTACTTTCCTGTGGATTTAAGGGCTAATTGGCTCACTTATCTGATGAGCTAGGTTTATGCCTTCAATATTCCCATCTTCTCTCTTTCTTTCCCTTTCTCCTCTTTAATTTTTCCTTTATTCTTCCTATAAATGCATGCTGAGTACCTGCTATATTGTGTGTCCTGAGATTCAGTGAGGATTAAAGGAATGACCCCACATATCATAGTGCTTGTGGATGTGTCTTGCTGTTCCTCATGGACCATGAGTTCTTGGAGGGTAAGGGTGGCATGTTAGTCTCTAATAAATCCTTCTTGGGGTTAAGTACAGCACAGAGGTGGGGGTTCTGCGAATATACCCATGAACAGAGGCAGTGGAGTGTACGGTTCAAGAGCATAGCTTAAGAATCCCAAAGGCCCGGGCTTCCCAGCTGGGTGGCTGCAGCAACAAGGATCCTCAATATCCTCGTTTTTAAAATGGGAGAATAATAGTGCCTGCCTTGCAGGGTGGGGGGGTTAATGAGACAGTGCTTGGAAAGCTGGGAGCCTTATGATTAGCACTCATACACTGGCAATGGGTATTAATAATAATGTTGATAATTGAAGTGAAAACCTTGCAATGAAAGAAAAGTAATGCCAGATCACTGTGCCCTGCAGTGCACCCCTCCAGGTGAACTGAAGGCCGCCTCTCAGCCACAGCGTTCATCCCCATCCTCTGAGACATTGATGACACAGAGACCTTCTCTTTGCAGGTCCTGAGCATCTTAGTCTGAATAAGGACTGTATATTTTCATCAAATCGTGCAACCCTTTTATTTTTATTAATTCCAATCCTCACACCTGCTTATTTTATTTTATTTTTTGAGACAGAGTCTTCCTCTGTTGCCAGGCTGGAGTGCAGTGGCACAATCTCGGCTCACTGCAACCTCTGCCTCCCAGGTTCAACCGATTCTCTTGCCTCAGCCTCCCAAATAGCTGGGATTACAGGCGTCTGCTACCAAGTCCAGATAATTTTTGCATTTTTAGTAGAGACAGGGTTTCACCATGTTGGCCAGCATGGTCTTGATCTCCTGACTTTGTGGTCCACCTGCCTCAGACTCCCAAAGTGCTGGGATTACAGGCGTTAGCCACCACACCCGGCCACCTGCTTTCTTTTAGATTGTGTTTCTGGATTTTTGTCAATAACTGATTTTTTTTAAGGCTTCAATTATTAAATAGGTATAGCCATGGATATAAGCCTGTTGGTCTTGTTCAGGCAGATCTTTTCCCTCCCTCTACAAATGGGAGCCTGTCCTACTACGACAGGTGTCGTCTAATGGTCAGAATCCTGCCCCAGAACAAAATGGCCTTTCAACTTCTCCAGAAAGAAGGTGACATAAATATGAACAACTGTTTAAATTTTTCAACCTGCAGAGAAGGTTTAGGGCAAAGATCATGGTCTGTCCTCTATAATAAACTGAGTCTAAATTTAGTCTGGGATTAGTGGTGCAAACATGTAGCAAATGAGAACTGTTTCTGCTGGACCACAGAGGGCTCACTGAGGCAGAGGCCAAAGCAATGACAACTCCCGATAATACCTGAACTAGCTCCCAACACGCCTGGCAAATCTTCCTTGTGAAATAGATTTTTCTGGCACAATTTTCTATGCATCCCTTAGCATGAGGACTTTTGAGAGCAGGAAGGAATATTCAGAGCCATCTAACTTAGTCACGTTGTGTCTCAAAGGGGAAGACTTGGCTGGTAAGGACACTGCTTTTCCTGAGGCCACACAAGTAGTTAATGAGAGAGCAGAAGGTGCACTGCAAAGGTCTTTGCTCCCTGGTCAGCTCAGGACCGAGGGTATCAGGTGGCAGTAAGCCAAGGAGGATGGTGGGGAGGAAATGCATTGCTTAGTACCCAGGGAGGAAAACAAGTGAGCCTGTTGGGTTGTTTTTGTTGGATTTTCTGTTTTTTCCTCAGAACTTTCCCCTAGGCCCTCACCCTTAGACTTCTGTGATCCATCCTAGCCCAGCTGTGTTGTTTAAGCAAATTGGACCCAGATTTTCACTCACTTTCCCATAACCTTGGCTGTACCTAAATCCCTGCCAAGCCACTTGGCTCTCTTCCAGCTTTGTTCATATTATATTTATGATGTTTATATTAAACTGACTTTTGGCCATGTTTTTAAATCAATTTCTTTCACTTGCTCTCTTTCTGTTTGGATTGGTTGATAATGCAGAATTGGAAAATCCCCGGGCACCACAAACTTGTGAGCCTGTGGAGACTTTAATTAAAGTTACTCGCTATTATGGGACTTTAAAATCTGGCCTGTCTGCTTTTTTCACTGCAGAGTTGCACAGAAAAAAAAAAAGCCTTTATGCAAGTCTCAGCTCTAAAGTAACTCTGGGCTCTCGGGGCCCCCTCCCTTATAGCTATGGTTTACTAATCCAGTGGTCAGCTTGAATTTAGAACAACTGAATGTATCCCAGGTTCAATAAAATATGCTTTCTATTTGGTTTTTGCTACAAACAACACCCTTTTCTGCCTCGTTCCATAGAACTTTCTAATCTAAAATAATTGGCCTCCTACTCATTAACTTTTTTCCTTTAAAACTTCAGTCTGTCTCTGTTGTGCCTGTGAATCTAAATGACTGCATGTAGGCCAAATGTGATAGGAGTGCTCAGGGGTTGATCTCCATTTTTCTTGGGGATGCAAGGCTCAATGCTGGTTCACAGTGACAGTAAGTAGTTGATGATTGAATGGGCTCTGAAAGACATGGGGTGACCTGCTAAAATCCCAGGCTTAGGGAGGAGCCACGTGTTGAGCAGTATATATCTAACACTTCAGAGTCAATTTAGTCTTAATCATTTTGTGACTATGATTGTTTTAATTGCCTAATCCTTATAAGTCAATCATATTCTCCTCCTGGCTCAAAGTTCAGTTGCCCAGTTGAGAGAGTGTATTAATAGCTCTAAGATTAATTTTCCTCTGCAGGCATATAATTATTGGCTTTAAAAAATGCTACTAACCATGATACTTCTAAAAAGCCAAGTCAGAATATTTTAAAGTCTCATGATTCTGGCTTCCTCAGATATTTTCAGAATACCATGGTGCCATCTAATGAATTGCATGATGAAGAGAGTGCCAACCAAGCCTACACTTGTGTAAAGGTTCATCAAATTATGTTCCGTGGAATAAATACCAGGCTTTTTGAAAAACCAGATATGTAGCAGGGTGGAAGGCTAGTGTCTTATAAATAAGGGTAAGCTGAGTTTAGGTGATTTGATTAGTCTTTCATTCCTTTATTCTACAAAACAGAATTGGTGCCACTGTGTGGCTGGCCCTGTTCTGGGTACTGGGGTTACCAGGATGCATAAAGAAACCTCCAGAAGCCACTATCTAGGAAAGGAGACATCTAAACCTCCAATTGTAACATAATTATATTGAGATATTTACCATTTACTGAGTAACATTTACATGCATTCTCTGTATTTTTCATAACTGTTTTTGCACAGTTGGTATTATTTTTCTTCTAACATGAGGAAACTGAGGCTCAGAAGGTTAAGTAACTTGCTCAAATTTATACAACTAGTATTGGAATCAGGCTTTCAATTAGAATCTGTCTAGTAGTATTTTCCATACGAGGCTGCCTTCCACAGATGCTCTAACAGAGAGGTACACCTGCGGTTTCTGGAAGTGACAAGAAAATTCCAACAACTCATCTATCTGCTTAACACCAAATTATCTTTGCTTCCTTGCTTGTGGAGTAGGTAAAAGGACATTTTGCTCCTGACAGTTCTGTGCTGTGTATTCTCTTCCACCAGAAAATGCAAAATGATTCAAGGATCTTTCAGAATTCTTGGGTCACGATTGGGCTATGGGTTGTTGCCCAAGTGTCAGGATGAAATTGGGATGGAAACTGGGAATGAAGTGCATCTAAAACCTTGACATGAAGGAAGGGGCTGGGAAGGAGTTTGAGATAAGGGAGGGTAGTGAGAAGCCCAGTGAAGATGGGATGGGGAGATGGGGACTCTGAGGAACAGCGGGCACTGGGCTGGCTGTCAGTTTCAGTATCGTGTCCAAGATGGTTTGCTGCCAGGAGTCGAGGAAGCCTGCCACAGCATTTTTCCTGGTCTGACATTGTTGTGGCCACGTGTGTAGCATTGGCAACAACGTTGGGTTCTCATTTCTGTTTTTACTTCCTTTCTACCATAGCCAAGGCCCTAAAAATGGCCCTTTATGCTTGCCCATAGAGGAAAAAGGAGGATAGCAAATGAACAGGAAAGTGTTTAGGAATGTTTGGGAGGTGAGAAAAAGAGCTTCATACAATTTTAATATTTTTACTGGGCAATTTGAATCTTCTGGTCAGCTTATGAAATGATAAGCCACATTATTATTAGTCACAATAGTAATGGTACTAATACTATTATACTAATAATAGTGCAATTAGTATTTGGCAACGGTAGTAGTAATAGTAATTTTTGAAAAGTTTTTTTTGGTTCCTTCATATCTAAAAATGTTCACATCTAGGGACAGAATAGTTTATCTTTAACCTTGTGGAGGTGCTTGAATAAGTTATATGCATCATAAATTTTCCTTAAATATTTTGTTGCTGTTGGTTCGGGATATTTTCTTTTCAGGAAGGCAACATTCAATGAAGCAAACAATTCTTGTCTTCTAACCTAAAAGAAAAAAAAGTGACTTTCCTCTGAATGAAATGTGGTTAAATAAATAAGTTCTCAGGAAGATATTTTAACTAGAACATCCAGTTTGTAGCATATGGAAACTTGAACAGTTTTTGTTATCATTAAACTGAACACACTGCTAACTTTATTTTAATAATTCATGCATTGTTTCATAAACAAAAGCAAACAAGCATTCATCTGAGAGATCATTTTTAGTAGAAGAAATAATAATTTATAATTTTATTTATTATTTCTTCAGTGGAGAATAGTCTCTTGGCTGAACACACGTTGCTTTTTTATTTATGAAATGGCACATGCATTATTAAAATAAACCTGCTACTGTGTTCTGCTTAATGATATGCAAAATTATTTGAGGTTGGGTACAGTGTGGTTTCATTTCTCTACCTGTTGTATGGTTGGCTGGCTTTCTCACCAACTGCGGATTTATGAGAGCATTTAAGGAACACATATTTAATTCTGGGACCAAAAAGCCCCAGCAGGTTGGAAAAATAAAAGCAGAATTTCTAGTAATGGTTTTACCTTTGAGCAGTTCTTGGGTGAGGAAGGTGGGGAGGAAAAGCATTTAGCTAGCAAAGGAATGAGTCTTTCCATATTGGACACAGCAGAGACCCAGAGACAAAGGCTTTGCTCCCCCTTCCCCGCCTCCATGCTAATTTCAGGCAATTCTTTGCAGCTCTGCTTTTGGCTCCAGCTCACCTCATGTTTCTCAATGGCTCTCTGAGTCCCCCCAAGCATTTGAAACCAGATCCAATGATTCAGGTTCTGCTCCTTTCCTGTCTCACCTGCTCTGCTCTGAGCAGCATGACGAGGGAATATGACCTCAAATATACTTGAAGTTGGGTTTTCTTTGTTATCCAATAAACCATCTCACGGGTTTTTTTTTTTTTTTTTTTTTTTTTTTTGAATGTTAAGATCCCAGAAAATGTGTGTTCAACTCTTTGGATAGTTATTATAAAAATACTGGAGGAATTTTATTTTATTTTTATAGCTCGTAAACTCCTGGGATGGCAGGCATTTCAGAGGGAGTACAATGTGAAGGGCTGATTGCCCAGACTGAGTCATTTACCCAAGTGTTACAGGGAATGTAGATTCAGTGGACCAGTGAATCTGGTCCCACTTGATTGTACACATTGTGACAATGACAGTGTCGGGATGGAAAGATGAAATGCTTGCATGTCATTTTATGGCACAATAGCATATGTGGACTCACCGTGTAACTCTGCAGCAGGATGCTCACCAAGTGATTTATTGATGGGCTGTGCATTGGGGAAGGAGCAGGCAATGTTGCCCCAAAATAACTTTATGGCTTCTCAAGGGTGAAATCCCACCGTTATAGGACCATCTTTCTGGATCTATAATGTGCTACATTTAAAATGTCCTCGTCTGAGAATAGCTTAAAGCATGATTGGTACCTGGCATGGATGTGCAGTTGGGGTTCCAGGGAAGGGGAGAATGAGGAAGGGCATGAAGCCTTGCCTGGAAAACCTTTTCCTTCATCACAATTCTTTCTGGGGTTGACTGACCCGGTGAATAACATCTTTTGGATTTATAGAAATAGGGTAGGATTGTGGAATAATCTTGCTTTCTTGATTTTGCTATAAGAAAAATGAAATAAGATAATATTTGCAAAATGCCCTCTGATAGAAAGAAATGTATTAAATTTACTAAGTCTCCCTTTCCTCTCTCTGGGCTTTCAAACTTTTTAAATATGGTTCTTGGCAGTTTCATTATTCCTGTTTTCTAGATTGAAAGCCCACCCATGGAAGCAGCAGGTAGTTCTCCATAGAGCTGACATCGAGTTTGCATTAAGACTGAAACTAAGAGGAGGTTTGGCCCTCCTTCTCCATCAGAACCACTGTTGTTATTGAACCTTGACAGGAAACATATTTATAGATTCCTTTGGTGCTTAGGATATTAAACTATTTGTATTCCATCATTTCTTTTCTCTAAAAATGCCTCTTTACTTTCTTGTTTGTATAGGGAGCTGTGGTCATGGTGGTGTGGTGAACATCAGCAAACCGTCTGTGGTTCAGCTCAACTGGAGAGGGTTTTCTTATAAGTATGGTGCTTGGGGTAGGGATCACTCTTCCCAACATCCAAACAAAGAACTGTATTGGGTGGCGCCATTGAATACAGATGGGAGACTGTTGGAGTATTACAGACTGTACAACACAATAGATGATTTGCTATTGTATATAAATGCTCGAGAGCTGCGGATCACCTATGGCCAAGGTAGTGGTACAGCAGTTTACAACAACAACATGTACGTCAATTTGTACAACACCAGGAATATTGCCAGAATTAACCTCACCACCAACAGGATTGCTGTGACTCAAACTCTTCCTGATGCTGCCTATAATAACCGTTTTTCATATGCGAATGTTGCTTGGCAAGATATTGACTTTGCTGTGGATGAGAATGGATTGTGGGTGATTTATTCAACTGAAGCCAGCACTGGTAACATGGTGATTAGTAAACTCAATGACACCACACTTGAGGTGCTAAACACCTGGTATACCAAGCAGTATAAGCCATCTGCTTCTAATGCCTTCATGGTATGTGGGGTTCTGTATGCCACCCGTACTTTGAACACTAAAGCAGAAGAAATTTTTTACTACTATGATACAAACACAGGGAAAGAGGGCAAACTAGACATTGTAATGTGGAAGATGCAGGAAAAAGTACAGAGCATTAACTATAACCCTTTTGACCGGAAACTTTATGTCTATAATGATGGTTACCTTCTGAATTATGATCTTTTTGTCCTGCAGAAGCCCCAGTAAGCTGTTTAGGTATTAGGGTGAAAGAGAAATAAAATGTTTGTTGAAAAAATCGTCTTCTCCACTTTCTTATATGTCTGCAGGAGCTTCTAGAAGTGTGTTCGTTCTGCAGCAATATTTAGGTGCATAGTTCTACACACTAGAGACCTAGGATATTTGTCTTAATTTGGTGAGTTCTCTCAGGAGCCATCTGCCTCTTCAGATGCATTTTCCAACTGAAGTGAAGTCCTTCTAGGGTGGGATTGTCAGAGGTCTAGGGGCACTGTGGGTCTAGTGAAGCCTACTGTGATGTGGCATCTGGAAATTAAGGAACTTAAAGATAACTCAGTATGGCTTCCAGGGATTCTTTGTACAGGAAAGATTGCCCAGTGACCAGTTCTCTTCCATGTAACCCCACTAATTACTCCGTGCCTGGGGATTAGTTAGGCAGATTAATATCTGGAGCTCCTTGAGGGACCAAATCTCCAACTTTTTTTTTTCCTCACTAGCACCTGGAATGATGCTTGTATGTGGTAGATAAGTAAAGTTGGCACGCTTCTATTGTACCTGTAAAGCGCTAAGTTTTATGGAGAAAGGCCTTTTTATGCATTAAATTGTACACTGCAAATAAAGCCCTGAAGGACCTGCAGATGAGGCACGTGCTTTTTCTTTTCTCTCATTGTCCACTGACCTAAAAGTCAGTAGAACCCTCTACCTTAACTTTCTTCCAAAGGCAGCTCAGAAGATCAGAACCAGACTTACTAACCAATTCCCCCTACCCACTCTCTACCTATTGCTTTAAAAAAATTAATAGTTTTCTATGGAACAGATATAAGATTAGAAAAATTAGTTTTCTTTGATTTCATCATGAACTTCTATTTACATGGCTCTAAGACTAAGATAATCTGATGGTAGCAATAAAGTGCTAGCATTTATTGTTATATAATAAAGACCTTGGAGCATATGTGCAACTTATAAGCCTATCAATTGTTGCATGTAATTTTTGCCTTTGTTTAAGCCTGGAACTTGTAAGAAAATAAAAATTTAATTTTTTTTCTAGGATGAGATACAGAAAGCTACTGAGAATATCTAGCTAATCAGTGCAGTAGTTGGAAGCCTTGCTAGTGTACATGATGTACTTCTGTGCTTTCGAATGGCTTTATCATGTGGTCTTTGTTTTTCCTTTGATGGTCAAGTCTAGTCTATAGGATGGCCATTTAAATGCTTTACTCCCCCTTTTTAAATACATGATTAAAATGTGCTTTGAAAAAAAGTCGTCTTTTGTTTTATTTACTTTTTAGTTAAAAAAAAAAAAAAAGCTCTTACTGGGGTAGTCCATATCTTGCTATGATGTTCAGAGAATGGCTACCTCCCAAACACCAGTGCTAGGAGATCACATAGCTAACAACAGATGATATTAATAACTTTAAAAAGAGTCCAAAGTCAGACTGGCTCTTTAGTTTTCCTTTCCCTTTAAAATCCACTCTTTCTGGCAGTTATTGTACGAGATTGCCCTATTATCTTTTGGGATATGACCTTATGTACTAATTAATTTGCATGACTGATCTGATTATTTCCAATGCTAGACTACATTTATGTGGCTTATGTTTCTTTTCCAACTGAGCTATTAACATGGATCAGAAGCCTCTGGATCTTCCCCAAACAGGAGGACTTGGGCAGAAAGCAAAAGGACTAACTGGCTGTACCAGGAAGAGAAGTACCTTTACCAAAGAGAATGTGTAAGAGGACAGGTGACCTAGAGCTGGAAGGACAACTGGACTGATGGAGTTAGTCTTTCTGAAATGCTCATTTTGAATCCTTGCGAAGCTTTTTGAGCCAGATGGCAGCTATAATATTTAGTATTTTTAGTAAGATTTTTCCCCATCTCTTCAGGGCTCAGTAGAGACAGGTACGGCCTTCAAAATGCAACAAGATATGAAGATAAAGACATGTATGTCATGTGAGATACAAGTTAAAAACCAAGATGTTATGTTTAATCTGGCTCTAGGCAGTTCTCCAGATGAATGTTTCTACTGAGTACACAGTATGACCTCTGAAGATTCAGGAAAGGAGGCAGGAAGCCAAGATAACCCTAGCAATCAGCTGCTTATTTGAACTGCTACAGAAGCATTTGCCTGAAAAAATACACTTCCCAGCTTCTCTCCCACTGGACATGGTGTATCAGTCAGCAGTGGCTGCCTGCAGGAAATATCCGTGCTGGGAAGGTTGAAGGACTCAGGGATTCAGGCTCCTGGGTTTACCTCAGTGCAGTTACACAATGGGAATTTTAGCTCCAGATTCATCTGCTAGCGCCTGTTTGAAATTTACATATATATATATATATATTATAAACATAAATTACATAAGGTATAATTCACATGTGGTAAAACCTGCCAGTTTTAAGTGCACAATTCAATGAGTTTTGACAAGTGTATAGTCGTGTAAAGGCCACCACAGTTAGGAAATAAAACACTTCCATCCTCCCTGAAATGTTCTCTTGTGCTTTTTTATAGTCAGCTCCTACCCCCACCTTCCAGTCTCTGGCCACCACTGATCTGTTTCCTAAACCTACGGTTTGCTTTTTCCACAAAGTCATGGACATGGAATTATATAGTGAATAGGCTTTTGAATCTGTTTTCTTCAACAAGAGAACTAGTGGTTCAAATTACCCCAGAGGGGAATTGGGCATTACCAGTGCTCTTGGGGTTCCCTGCATTGTTTATTATCTTTCCTGGGGTGGGGTAGGGGATTGTGGAGAGCCGTGGTGACCTACTGCCCTTCTAAGTGTTCCCGCGTGGCTTGTAGGGCCATGGGAGGGGTCTGAATCTGTGCACCAATCAAACCTACCAGTCTGCGCTCCCGAAGCATGAGGTTTTCTTCTTATCAGGCTTGTTGAAGGTTTGTTCTCCAATCTTACTCCTGTACCACAAGCATCCCTACCCAGGTGAGACCGGATATTAATTAACAGCGCATAGAGCGGTTATGAGCAGAGGATTCAGAGTCATGCAAAAATGGATTTGACTCTTGGTCCTGCTACTTGCATATGGTATGGTTTTGGGATGGTGCCTTAACTTTTCTGAGACTCAGTGTTTTTTTCGGTAAGATGGGATAAAACCACCTACCTCACAGTCCTGTGGGATAAATTAAATGGTATTAAGTATATAAAGTGTTTAGGGAAGTCTTTGGCCCATGCTCTGTCCTTTACAATGAGTTTTTAATCCCTGTTTCTCATTTTGAATTTTAGGTTCAGAACAGTCATTGGGTTGACAAGCTATAAAGCTAACTGGGATTCAAGTTTACATTTCCTTCTACAATGGCTGTCATAGCTCGTGACTTTTTGAAGCGGGTGTCATTTTGGCATGAAGAGTTCCAAAGGCTAGAACATCCTCTCTTTGTCCTCAACTCCAAGATTGATCCTCAGTGCTGATATTTTCTGTGCTTTGACCCCAAAAGATTGGCCAATGTGAGCAGCAGAAATGAACCTGTTTCCCATTTCTTTTGGTCCACTGACTACCTAAATGAAGGCTGGCTCTCATGAAGCCCCGTGGATAAGACTCAACTATATGCGTATGCTTTTCTGCTTGCTTTGCTGTAGTCAACACGGGTATCACCCTTTTCAGAACACTCATGGGTACTTATTTTGTACTCCACTTTTAGTAAAATGCATGTACCTCTTAAGGTTTGTTTATATCACCAACCTAAAAGTCTATTTTTTCTCCTCTTCTTGTTCACGAATCACTGAAAGGGAGAACTTCATCCTTTGTCTTCTGACTGTGTGGGCTGCCTTCGGGATGACGCCGGGAGGCTCTGTGCCTGAGCCTTCAGTCATCTCAACAGATGTCATGCCATGGAAGGTGATTAGCTTCCTGTACTCCAGAATGTTCTGGAACAACAAAAGGGTAAGTTGTGACACACCAGAAAATAAAAGGCAGGCATGTTTCTAAGGCACGCTCTTAGTCAGTGGAACAGACCAGCTGGCCTGGCTCATGGGTGAGAGATGCTGTTTGAGCTGTCAGTTCAGTTGCCAGGCCCCACATCTATAGCCTTGGATGTGCCCACTTGTCTCTGATATCTGCATCTGTTCCTGGAACTCATTCAGGGGGAATAGCCCTTGGAATCAAGGTCCAGTAGGGAAAAATGGCCTTCAGTTTGTACAACAGGGAGGTTTCTTGGGTGGCACCTGAACCTCTTGGAGCCAAAAGTTCTGCTAGTAGAAGGGTTTTTCAGACCTCGACTGCTCTGAGGACATTAAGGAAAGACCTATGGTGTGTTTGAGGACTTCTGAGGGGTTTGGCTAGAGCTCAGTGTATGTGGAGGGTGGCAGAGGATGGGTATGAAAGAATGGATAGGGCCCAGGTTTATATTCTATCAAAGAAATTTGATTTCTGTACCTCCATCCATCAAATTGATGGTGACTTCAACTTTCTCAAGTCTTCTCTCCCCCCCCAGCTTTATTGAAGTAAAATTGACAAATAAAAATTGTACATATTCAAGGTATACAACATGGTGCTTTGATATAGGTATTCACTGCGAAATAATTGCTGTCATTAAGTGAATTAACACATCACTTGCCTCACATAGTTACCAAATCTCTTCTCTTTTTAGATTCTGTCAACTCATGTGTTCTTTTTGGTTGTGACCAATAATATTTTTATATCAACATTACTAGTGATTTTTCTCTTTCACCTTGGTGGCTGTGGTCAAGGTTCAGTGTAAGAACGGAAACAACACCTTGTAACTGGAGCTGCTAACTGATCTATTAGATAAACCTCACTATCAGTGACTTGGCGTAGCAGTGGGGTATTTTTCTCCCTCACTTCACTGACCACTGCTCTCATCATTTTGTCCTTGGTCATTGCTTCTTTTAAAGTCTCTCTCATCCCAACACCCTTTTCCCCCTCACTCCCCGTTTGTGGTTTTGTCTGGTGCTGCCACGATGGGAGAGAGCTTCTCTTCCAAGATGACTCTCTTTCAAGCAGTGCGTCAGGGACCCAGGCTTGCTCCATCTTGTGTTATCACCATCTCCATATATAGCTTCCAAGGTCATCATGCTCGTTTGCATCACATAACTAGAAAGGAAAGGAATGTGAAAGCCTGGGTGAGAAGTTGGTTTAGCTCTGGTCTAAGAGTGATGTCCAACATTTCTGCTCACATTCCATTAGCGTAGGTCACGCCTAGCTGCAAAGAAGGCTGGGAAACATATAGTTGATGGGTGCACAGGAGAATAGAAAATAGCTTGGTGAGCAGCCAGCCAGTGTGCCTTACCACTATAGGTATTACAGGAAGAAAAGGATTTAATACAGGGAATCAGGTGCTAAAAAAATAATTGGAAAGGTACAGGGCAACTAGGGGCTGCAATTTAACAATTGGCTTTGAGGTCACTCCACTACCTACAACGTAGAAATCAAGAGACTGCATCTGTTGCTACCATTGGTGTCATCCCCACATTCTCCACCCTGATACCAGATGATGGACTCTGGAATCTGCCACAAGCACTCATCTCTGCTGGTGCTCACTGATCCTACCCACAGTAAGCCTTCCACCTTTCAAATCTAATCTAAGTGGATCTCATTGACCGAATCTAAAATCACCCTGAACTGTATCAGAGGAGCCTGGGAAATGTAGTTTTAATCTTTCTTCCCCTGTGACACAGTGAAAATGATAGGAGAGGTTGAAAATTGATGCCAGTGCCAATAGTCAATATCTCGCACAACAACTTCATTCAGTAATCCCTGTTTTCATCATTGCAGCTGCTTGGTGATTGCTTCTTTTAGCACCTCCTCTATCCCCTGGTCATTTGTCACCATTTTATTTTATAATGTTCACATTCCAGTGGTAGCTTAGCCTGATACCACCATAATGGGGGAAAGTTTCTCCTCTAACAATGCACCCTCCAAACGAACTTTTTTTTTTCTTTTTTTGAGATGGAGTCTCGCTCTGTCACCCAGGCTGGATTGCAGTGGCATGATCTCGTCTCATGGCAACTTCTGCCTCCAGGGTTCAAACCATTCTCTTGCCTCAGCCTCCTGAGTAGCTGGGATCGCAGGCGTGTGGCACCATACTAGGCTAATTTTTTTTCTTTTTTATATTTTTAGTTTAGTAGAGACAGGGTTTCGTTATGTTGGACAGGCTTGTCTTGAACTCCTGACCTCAGGTGATCCTCCTACCTCAGCCTCCTAGGCAAAGTGGCTCATGCTGGGATTACAGGCATGAGCCACTGCACCTAGCCCCAAACTGACTTTTGAAGGGGAACTGGGCTTTACAATTTATAGC